CTAGACGACAGTCATTGGAAACACTGTTCTCCTAGAACCACGGTCCTGAAACTTGAAAGCAAGGATGCCCTGTACTTCTGTATACTACTTTCCATGTAGGAAGCACAGGAGTAGAGAGTGAGGGCCAGGCAACAAGAGAGGCAGGCTCAGAGAAAGTTCTTGCTTCAAATCTGAAAGAAAAATGTAATTAAAAGATAATCAAGAAGAAGGGTATATAGCTGAATGGTAGAGCGTGTGCTTAGCATACATGAGGTCCTGTATTCAATCTCCAGCACCTCCATTAAAAAAAAAAGTAAATAAACCTAATTACCTCCCCCTACCAAAAAACAATAACAAAAAGATAATCAAGATAATGAATAAGAAAATCTCTCTTTGAGGGAGGCTTCAAGATGGTGGAAGAGAAGGATGTGGAGCTCACCTCCTCCCATGGAAACATCAAAAATACATTTACATGGGAACAATTCTCACAGAAAACCTACTGAACTCTCACAGAAGATCTACTAGCAGAGTTACAAGAAAGATCTCCATGTAACTGGGAAGGGAAAAAAAAAAAGAATAGGGATGTGAGCTGTGCCCCTGGGAAGGCGCGGTAAAAGGAAAAGTCCCCTCACCTTGGGAACCCCTTCACCAGTGGGAAGATCGGCGGGGACAGAAAGAGGCTCCGAGGAGAGCACAGCAGCCACCTGGCTGCAGCCAGAACAGAGAAACCAGCCTGGAGGGTCTGGGCCACCTCACTGCACTCCCCAGGCCACGACGCTAGCCTGCTGGTGCGTGCAGAGACTGAGTGCCGAAGCTGGGCTTCAGAGGACAGACCCAGGGGGAGAGGACTGGGGTTGGTGCCCGGAGACAGCCTGAGGGGGCTGGAGTAAGGTATGGGCTGAAACTAGGAGTGTGTGCAGGGGAGCCTGGGTCCACCATAAAAAGTCCCACTGTTAGTGTGCACTGGCAATGGCAGGGATGGGACCCTGCCATAGCAGTCTCCTTTTGGCTTGCTCCAGGCCATGGAAGCTCTGCTTCTGGGAGCTCTGAGTGCGCACAGTCCGCAACAGGTTGCCCCCAGGTAGAAGCAGGACTGAGGTCTGGGCCCATTCCCAGAGATGAAGCTGGGGTCTGAGCTCTGGTCCAGGTGGCACTGGCAGACTTGTGCTGCTGGTACTTCTGCAGGCTCAGCATCTGCAGGCCATCCAAGCAGGGAGCTGGTGCACAGCTGGGTCAGGTCGGCCATTAACAGTGGGAGTCCTCATACAGAGGCAAGGCTGCAGTCTGAGCTGACCCACGGCTAGGCTACAGACCCGGGTGTGCGGCTACATGTGACTATGGTGGGCCTGGTGCCTGACTTCAAGGGATCGTCCCTGCTGGCTTTGTGAGCACAGCGCCTGAGAGGCATCAGGGCAGACCGCCTGCATTCCCATGGCTGATAGGGGCTGAGGGCAGCACCAATAACAGTGTACGTTGTGAGCCCACACACAGATAATAGGCGGCACCACAGAGGGCACTTCCCAGTGGACAGCTCCTTCAGAGGCATACTCATCAGCTCCCCTACCAGGGGAAGCACTTCTGTCCCTCCTCCCTCACATAGCAGCTCAGAAACGTTTCTGGGGCTTCTACTCCAGCAGCAGAGGAGCATACTAGGCCTCCAAGAGGACTGTGACAACCACAGAGCAAAGAGGAAACCCTTCTCAACATCCAGTGAAAGCTCAGGTACCACAGCTGTTAGTGGGAACGTAGTTTGATGCAGCCACTATGGAAAACAATACAGCGATTCCTCAAAACACTAGAAATAGAGTTACCATATGATGCAGTAATCCCACTCCTGGGCATCAATCCAGAAACAACTCTAATTTGAGAAGATACACACACCCCAATGTTCATAGCAGCCAAGACATGGAGGTAACCTAAATATCATCCAGATGATTGGATAAAGAAGATGTTGTTTATATACAGTGGAATACTACTTAGCCAGTAAAAATGAAATAATGCCCTTCGCAGCAACATGGATGGACGTAGAGATTTTAACATGGATGGACCTAGAGATTATCACACTCTAGGTCAGAAAGAGAAAGATAATTATCATATGATATCACTTGTATGTGGAATGTAAAAAAATGATATAAAGGAACTTATTTACAAAACAGAGACTCACAGACATAGAAAATAAACTTATGGTTACCAAAGGGGAAAGGTAGGGAGCGATAAATTAGGAGTTTGGGATTAGCAGACACAAACTACTGTATACAAAATACATAAATAACAAGGTCCTACTGTATAGCTTAGGGAACTACATTCAGTATCTTATAATAGCCTATAATAAAAAAGGACATATATAAATGTATAACTGAATGATTATGCTGTACCCTAGAAACTAACAAAATATTGTAAATTAATTTCACGTCCATATTAAAAAAAGAGTTTGGAGCA